CACTGTTGTAGATAATTAATAATGTCAGATTATAAAGATATGTAGAATAGACCAAACAGAAGATACTAAGATCATATTGATCGATAAGATTTCTTATTTCCATTTTATCTCTTGTATCTTCTATTCACACTGTCCATATATTTTTCATTCAGATTCCGGTCGTTCAGTTGTATGTTTTCTTGCAATTTAAGTGCTGCGTTAAGCTTCTTCAGTTACCGCAGTTTCATTCTTAGTTTACATATAACAGGCAGGTGGTCGCTTCCGCAGTTGGCACTTGGATGGGTTTTGCAGTGAACAACTGCATTTCTATCGCTTGTAACAATTATCCTAAGAAATGAAAAAAAAAAGGGAAATACACACAAATGGAAGTACAAAAAGAATAGTGAAAATTATCAATAATTAATTTTATATTATGCACAAATTAAGCTTCCTCTAGAAAGGCTGTTCAACAATCTAACAGTTTTAGAGAATAAGCTGTCTGAATCTTACTTCAGTCTTACCAATGAACTACGAGGGGAATGTAGACGATTCGACGATGTGTATGCGGCATGTGAGATCTAAAGAGGAGGAACTAATGGAATCAGAGATGGAGTAGTGAGAGGTTACCGTCGCATCGTCTGTGGGAAATGGATTGTAGGGTGCAACATAATTCATCGACTGCAAGGACCAGTAAACACTTTTAAATTTCTGTCAAAACTGGAACATGAGAATTAGGCAACTCCAAAACATTACTCCATATCTGGGTAGTATTTGCCTAATGTTCACCTCCTAGACTTGGGTAATGCCCAGTCCGGTATATCACTCTAAGTCTTCTCGGCCCGCTTCCAATTCGTTTTTACATTGAAAACTTGGCCTAAGTGAAACAGAAAATAAAAAAAAGGATTATGCGGATTAGTAGTCATCAAAAGAAAGACAATAGGGTGGTCTTCCAAAATACCCTACATGAGGCAACCAGCTGTCCAGCGGATGTTTCCACTGATGCGCTTCGTGACTGCATAAAAACCTTATCTGGTAACCGTTCTGAGTAAGAGGTTAAACTACATCCGCGTCCTGGGTAAGACGATAAACTTCATCCGCGTCCTGGGTAAGACGATAAACTAGGTCCAGCAGCAAGACCTCGGAACAGGAGGTTTTGAGAAACGTGGAACCACATTTTAATTGCTGGTGTTCCCAGGTCCACCCTGAACCGGGGTGGTAGCACCTGTTAGGGTCCCAGCTATGGGCAAATAGTTAACTATTACCAGCAATCCTTTTTTTAATTATTACCAGCCATACAATTTTGAAGGAAAAATATAACCCGAAACAGATTTTTGACAAAACAAAATATTACCTGCAATAAAAAAATTTTGTCGGCATTAAATAACTGTTATGGGATCTTACCCATAATAATAATAATGGACTATTCCATACTTAATAAATACTGCGCCTCAGGAGTAGTTCAAGTCGAGTCAGTAGTTCAAGTCGAGTCAAGAGTCGAGTCAGAGGCAGTCCGAAACAGAGTCGCGTTCAGACAATTACTGCAAGACATTGGAATAGTGATACTGGTCGAGACTACATTGTTCTCTCTACTAAACCTGATTGTTCATACTAACACTTTCTACTTCTCTGTATATATTCCGGTTTGTAATATATCTGTGTTATTCCATATCCGTGTTCGAGTTCTTCTTTATTGGTTCTGCCTTGGACTATCACCATGGTACAAGGAACCGGACCATAACAATAACCCATTGATGTTGCTATGCCGTAAAACAAAATAAACCAAACCAAGCCTTATCTGGTAAACCTCCAAACAAGTCGTATATTTGCCTTCAGAAAAAAGTTAAATGAAAACTGTTACCAACAGTCGCGGTTATAGTAGAAGTAACCCAAAAACCCGAGCCTATCTCACGCAATCATTACACTTAAGAAAGATAATCACTTTACACCAAAACAGGTTGTTGTATGCTGTATGTAAAAGAAAAAAGGATGATAGATAAAACAGGCACAGTTTTGTGTCTGTATTGGTGACCTCAATTTATGTGACTCCAATTACCAGGTACACTATATACAACTCCAGTTAACACGCATCACACATACGACTCCGATAATTCGGCACAAGTTATACGCATCTAGTTAACATGAACACGCCTCTGGTTAACATGCACACGCCACTGGTTAACATGCAAACGCTTGCTAATACACGGCAAAACACAGTCCTCGGCTTAGTAGGTACAGATATAGGCCTAAAATTACCAGGCACAAGATATACTTCTGCAGATACCAGACGTAAGATATATTTGTCTGTTTAATGGGCACATGTGATACACCTCCGCTTAACTGGCACAATATATACACCTTATTACCAGGCAAAAGATATACTTTTGCGGTTACCAATGTTTAATCGGAACAAGCGATAAGCCTTCGCTTAAAAGGCAGAATATATACGCTAACGAATACCAGGTACTGGATATACTTTTGCGGTTACCAATGGTTAGATATATTTCTCTGTTTAATCGGAACAAGCAATAAGCCTCCGCTTAAAAGGCGTAATATATACGCTAACGATTACCAAGCATAAGATATACTACTGCGGTTACAAGACGTAAAATTTACTTCTCTTATTTAATGATCACATGCTATACGCCTCCTCTTGACATGCACAATATATACGCCTCTGTTATTACGCAATTTAACGCCACGATGTGTAGATTACAGAAGAAATCTAACAAATAGCATAACTAAAAAAAAACATGACGCCCTATCTTTGTAAAAAAGGTTTTACGAACTTTTTCCAGCATTGAGATCAGTGCAAACTAACCCCGTAATTCAGTGACGAAATTTCGTAACCCTTTACCAAAATGTAAGCAACTAATTCGCGTTGCTGAAATTACTAGATTCTATCACTACTTTCGATTGCATGCAAATCCCTCACAAGAATGCTCTTAAATAGACATGGAAATCAAATCAGTGCCCGCCAACCATTGATTGTTCCTCCAAGCTAGATATAACAAAACAGTTCTGAGCAAGAAAAAGGGTTACATATTATTTTTCTTAGTAGGTCTGATACAAATTTCATTAGTAGTCAGGCTCTCAAGAACTTTTAATAGGGTGTGTGCGAGGATAGCGTTTTATCGCTTTAATAATATTAGTAAGAGTGATAATATTAATAATGATTCTACACGACCCGACACGCAAGCACGCACGCGTAACATCCCTGACCATTTTACTAATGGAATAATAATTATTATTATTACTTCTATTATTAGAATTATAAGTAAGGTGATAAAACCACTATTCCTCACCACACACACACTAATAAAAATTCTTGTGCACCTGGGTACTTACTGAACCTCAACACATTTATTCGCACGCAGACACACATGTACAATTGTTGTTTATTTTGCCATCATCACCATTATTATTACTATTGTCGTTTTTAAGTTTTGACACATTATTCTGCACATTCCGACATAGTAGAAGACACTAAAACTATGTCTACACACACACACACACACGTACACACATACACACACATATTTTAATCCTTGCACACTTAACATATTGGAATTGCTACTAAGGACTAATAAACTAGAATTCCTGACACTTAAACTACTTAAGACTTTGTTGTCCTGAGTCACGCTCACTGTACTATGAGACTCCCAAATTTTGACAAGAAAATATTGTGATCATCAATTTTTGTCGCAAAATTACTTTCCTGATGAAAGGATAATAATCAGACAATTAGAATGCATTTTAAACAAAAAGCAGTCCGAGCTCTTTTTTTTATATAAAACAAAAATAATTTTCGAATACCAGTTATAGATGCTAGACTTATCACGACATAGCAACACGTTTCTCCATCTCAATTTAACGTTTGAAATCGTCGAACAGGGTTTATTCCATATAAATGGCCGGGTTTATTCCATATAAATATACTTAAAAAATCGAGTTGCATTTTGTATAAATATATATATATATATATATATATATATATATATATATGTGTGTGTGTGTGTGTGTGTGTGTGTAGTAATTCATTACTTAAACGTTATTTTTAGTTTTAGTGGATACTTATGTTTGTATAGATGTTCCATTTATTTATTAAACAGTAAATTTATTTGTTTCTTCTACCGGCCTGTATATTCGAGAAGCCTTATTAAAATATGCTCTGTCCGGCAGGATATAACCTTGAGTCCTGCCTGATGGGAGAAACCGTTTGTTGACACTGATTACGTCATCAATCAAGAAAATTTGAATAGTGCCTTATAAACGCAAATCTGTCCTAGACTCTTGAAATATTCATATCTGCTCAGCACGTTTTCTATATATATATATATATATATATATATATATATATATATATATATATATATACAGTTTTGTTTCATACTTGGGTGCCATCTTCAAGCATGAAGATATATATATATGTGTGTGTGTGTGTGTGTGTGGAAAAAGAGATGCTCAAAATAGTGAAAAAATATGAACGTATCCACATAGAGAATGTCGGTAATATTTAAGCAGATAGGGTTAGGGTTAGGGTTAGGGTTAGGGTTAGGGTCAGATGATGTGTGTCTGAGTTGACGGATAACAAGAGCACTGTATTTATATGTATACATGCACAGATAGATAGATAGATAGATAGATAGATAGATAGATAGATAGATAGATAGATAGATAGATAGATATGAATAAAGATAGCTTTCATAGCTAGTTAAACTGATATGAAAATACTAAAATAGGTATGAAAAGAGATAGATAGATAGATAGATAGATTGATAGATAGATATGAATAAAGATAGCTTTCATAGCTAGCTAAACTGATATGAAAATACTAAAATAGGTATGAAAATAGATAGATAGATAGATTGATAGATAGATAGATATGAATAAAGATAGCTTTCATAGCTAGCTAAACTGATATGAAAATACTAAAATAGGTATGAAAATAGATAGATAGATAGATTGATAGATAGATATGAATAAAGATAGCTTTCATAGCTAGCTAAACTGATATGAAAATACTAAAATAGGTATGAAAATAGATAGATAGATAGATTGATAGATAGATAGATATGAATAAAGATAGCTTTCATAGCTAGCTAAACTGATATGAAAATACTAAAATAGGTATGAAAAGAGATAGATAGATAGATTGATAGATAGATAGATATGAATAAAGATAGCTTTCATAGCTAGCTAAACTGATATGAAAATACTAAAATAGGTATGAAAAGAGATAGATAGATAGATAGATTGATAGATAGATATGAATAAAGATAGCTTTCATAGCTAGCTAAACTGATATGAAAATACTAAAATAGGTATGAAAATAGATAGATAGATAGATTGATAGATAGATAGATATGAATAAAGATAGCTTTCATAGCTAGCTAAACTGATATGAAAATACTAAAATAGGTATGAAAATAGATAGATAGATAGATTGATAGATAGATAGATATGAATAAAGATAGCTTTCATAGCTAGCTAAACTGATATGAAAATACTAAAATAGGTATGAAAATAGATAGATAGATAGATAGATTGATAGATAGATAGATATGAATAAAGATAGCTTTCATAGCTAGCTAAACTGATATGAAAATACTAAAATAGGTATGAAAAGAGATAGATAGATAGATAGATTGATAGATAGATAGATATGAATAAAGATAGCTTTCATAGCTAGCTAAACTGATATGAAAATACTAAAATAGGTATGAAAATAGATAGATAGATAGATTGATAGATAGATAGATAGATATGAATAAAGATAGCTTTCATAGCTAGCTAAACTGATATGAAAATACTAAAATAGGTATGAAAATAGATAGATAGATAGATTGATAGATAGATAGATATGAATAAAGATAGATTTTCATAGCTAGCTAAACTGATATGAAAATACTAAAATAGGTATGAAAAAGAGATAGATAGATAGATAGATTGATAGATAGAGATAGATATGAATAAAGATAGCTTTATAGCTAGCTAAACTGATATGAAAATACTAAAATAGGTATGAAAAGAGATAGATAGATAGATAGATTGATAGATAGATATGAATAAAGATAGCTTTCATAGCTAGCTAAACTGATATGAAAATACTAAAATAGGTATGAAAAAGATAGATAGATAGATAGATTGATAGATAGATAGATATGAATAAAGATAGCTTTCATAGCTAGATAAACTGATGAAAATACTAAAATAGGTATGAAAAATAGATAGATAGATAGATTGATAGATAGATAGATATGAATAAAGATAGCTTTCATAGCTAGCTAAATGATATGAAAATACTAAAATAGGTATGAAAAGAGATAGATAGATAGATAGATTGATAGATAGATAGATATGAATAAAGATAGCTTTCATAGCTAGCTAAACTGATATGAAAATACTAAAATAGGTATGAAAGAGATAGATAGATAGATAGATTGATAGATAGATAGATATGAATAAAGATAGAAAAGCTAGCTAAACTGATATGAAAATACTAAAATAGGTATGAAAATAGATAGATAGATAGATTGATAGATAGATAGATATGAATAAAAGATAGCTTTCATAGATAGCTAAACTGATATGAAAATAAAAATAGGTATGAAAAAATAGATAGAAGGAATAGATTGATAGATAGAGATAGATAGATAGCTAGATAAACTGATATGAAAAGACTAAAATAGATATGAGATAGATAGATAGATAGATAGATAGATGGATATGAATAAAGATAGATATAGCTAAAACTGAAAATGAAAATACTGAAGATAGATAATAGATAGATAGATAGATTGATAGATAGATAGATATGAATAAAGATATAAAAAGATAGCTAAACTGATATGAAAAAAAATACTAAAATAGGTATGAAAATAGATAGATAGATAGATTGATAGATAGATAGATATTAATAAGAATAAACTTACAAAGATAGATAGATAGATAGATAGATAGAAGGAAAAAAATAATAGATAAAGATGATATATAAAAAAATAGATAGATAGAAAAATAGGATATGAAAATGATAGATAGATAGATTGATATAAGAATTATGAAAAAGATAGATAGATGAATAAATAAAGATAGATAGATAGATAGATAGCTAGAATTAAAAACTGAGATGAAAATACTAAAATAGGTATGAAAATAGATAGATAGATAGATTGATAGATAGATAGATATGAATAAAGATAGCTTTCATAGCTAGCTAAACTGATATGAAAATACTAAAATAGGATATGAAAATAGATAGGATAGAAAAGATTGATAGATAGATAGATATGAATAAAGATAGCTTTCATAGCTAGCTAGATAAAGATGATAGAAAATACTAAAATAGATAGATAGAAAATAGATAGATAGATAGAAAGATTGATAGATAGATAGATAGAATAAAGATAGCTTTCAGATAGAGCTAAACTGATATGAAAAATACTAAAATAGATATGAAAATAGATAGATAGATAGATAGATAGATAGATAGATAGATATGAATAAAGATAGCTTTTCATAGATAGATAAACTGATATGAAAAAAAATACTAAAATAGGTATGAAAAAGATAGATAGATAGATAGATAGATAGATAGAATGAATAAAAATGTTTAGATAGATAGCTAAACTGATATGAAAATACTAAAATAGGTAGATAGATAAATAGATAGATAGGAGATTAAAAATTGATAGATAGATAGATATGAATAAAATAGCATTTTCATAGATAGATAAACTGATATGAAAATACTAAAATAGGTATGAAAAGAGATAGATAGATAGATAGATAGATAGATAGATAGATGAATAAAAATAGTTTAGATAGATAGCTAAACTGAATGAAAATACTAAAATATAGATGAAAAGAGATAGATAGATAGATTGATAGATAGATAGATATGAATAAAGATAGCTTTCATAGCTAGCTAAACTGATATGAAAATACTAAAAATAGGTATGAAAAGAGATAGATAGATAGATAGATTGATAGATAGATAGATATGAATAAAAATGTTTAGATAGATAGATATGAATAAATGAAAATACTAAAAAATAGATAGATAGAGATAGATAGATAAATTGTTTAGATAGATAGATATGAATAAAGATAGCTTAAATAGATAGATAATAGATGATATAGAAAAGAAAAAAATGTTAAGATAGATATGAAATAAAAAGATAGATGATACAAAGATAGATAGATGATAGATAGATATGAATAAAAATGTTTAGATAGATAGATAAAATAAAAGAAAATACTTAAAAAGATAGAAAAGAGATAGATAGATAGATAGATAATTGAGATAGAATAAAAAATGTTTAGATATGATGAAAAAATAAAAGACATACTTACAAAGATAGATAGATAGATAGATAGATAGATATTAATAAAAATGTTTAGATATAATATGAATAAAAAAATACTAAAATATAGATAGAAAAGAGATAGATAGATAGGAAGATAAATATGTTTAGAGATAGATAAATATGAATAAAAAGAGATAGATTGAGATAGATAGATAGATAGATAGATAGATAGATAGAAGGAATTAAAAATGTTTAGATAGATAGCTAAAATAAAATGACAAAATACAAAAATAGGTATGAAATAGATAGATAGATAGATAGAAAAATGATAGATAGATAGATATGAATAAAAGATACTTTCTTATAAAGATAAACTGATAGAAAATACTAAAATAGATAGGAATAAAAAATGTTTAGATAGATAGATGATAGATAAATAGATATGAATAAAGATAGATAGATAGATAGATAGACTGATATAAAAAATGTTTAAAATAGGTAATAAAAAGACATAGATAGATAGATAGATAGATAGATAGATAGATATGAATAAAAAATGTTTAGATAGATAGAAATGAATAAAAAATACTAAAATAGATAGATAGAAGATAGATAGATAGATATAGATTGATAGATAGATAGATATGAATAAAAATAGACTTTCAAAGATAGATAAACTGATATAGAAAATACTAAAAATAGGTATGAAAAGAGATAGATAGATAGATAGATAGATAGATAGATAGATAGGAATTAAAAAATGTTTAGATAGATAGATATGAATAAAAAGACATACTTACAAAGATAGATAGATAGATAGATAGATAGATAGGAATTAAAAAATGTTTAGATAGATAGATATGAATAAAAAGACATACTTACAAAGATAGATAGATAGATAGATAGGAATTAAAAAATGTTTAGATAGATAGATATGAATAAAAAGACATATAGATAGATAGATAGATAGATAGATAGATAGATAGGAATTAAAAAATGTTTAGATAGATAGATATGAATAAAAAGACATACTTACAAAGATAGATAGATAGATAGGAATTAAAAAATGTTTAGATAGATAGATATGAATAAAATGATAGATAAAGATAGATAGATGATAGATAGAAAAAGATAGATATTAAAAAATGTTTACAAAGATAGATAGATAGATAGATAGATGAATAGGAATAAAGATAGATAGATAGATAGAATAAAACTGATATGAAAATAGAAAAATAGTTATGAAGATAGATAGATAGAAGAAAAGAATGTTTAGATAGATAGATAGAATAGAAAGATAGATAGATAGATAGATAGATAGGAATTAAAAACTGAGATAGATATGAATAAAATAAAGGTATACAAAGATAGATAGATAGATAGATAGATAGGAATTAAAATAGATAGATAGATGAATAAAAAGACATACTTTCAAAGATAGATAAAGATAGATATAGATAGGAATAAAAAATAGATAGAAATGAGAAAAAAGATAGATAGAAAGATAGATAGAGATAGATAGATATGAATAAAAAAATGTTTAGATAGATAGATATGAATAAAAAGACATACTTAAAAAGATAGAGATAGATAGATAGATAGATAAAAATGATAGATAGATAGATAGGATAAAAAAATGTTTAGATAGATAGATATGAATAAAAGACTTAAAAGATAGATAGATAGATAGATAGATAGATAGATAGATAGATAGATTAAAAAATGTTTAGATAGATAGATATGAATAAAAAGACATTTACAAAAGATAGATAGATAGATAGATAGATAGATAGATAGATGAATTAAAAATGTTTAGATAGATAGATATGAATAAAAAGACATAGATAAAAGATAGATAGATAGATAGAGATAGATAGATAGATAGGGAATTAAAAAATGTTTAGATAGATAGATATGAATAAAAACATAGCTTACAAAGATAGATAGATAGATAGATAGATAGATAGATAGGAAGATTAAAAAATGTTTTAGAAATAGATATGAATAAAAAGAGATAGATAGATAGATAGATAGATAGATAGATATGAATAAAAAAATGTTTAGATAGATAGAAATGATAAAGAAATACTAGAAAAAGGATAGATAGATAGATAGATAGATAGATAGGAATTAAAAATGTTTAGATAGATAGATATGAATAAAAGACATACTTACAAAAGATAGATAGATAGATAGATAGACTGAATTAAAAAAATTTAAAATAGGTATGAAAGATAGATAGATAGATAGGAATTAAAAAATGTTTAGATAGATAGATATGAATAAAAGATAGATAGATAGATAGATAGATAGATAGATAGGAATTAAAAAATGTTTAGATAGATAGATATGAATAAAAAGACATACTTACAAATAGATAGATAGATAGATAGATAGATAGGAATTAAAAAATGTTTAGATAGATAGATATGAATAAAAAGACAAATACTAAAGATAGATAGATAGAAGATAGAGATAGATAGGAATTAAAAAATGTTTAGATAGATAGATATGAATAAAAAGACATACTTACAAGATAGATAGATAGATAGATAATAGGAATGAAAAATGTTTAGATAGAGAAAATAAAAGACATACTTAAAAGAGATAGATAGATAGATAGATAGATAGATAGATAGATAGGAATTAAAAATGTTTAGATAGATAGATATGAATAAAAGACATACTTACAAAGATAGATAAAGATAGATAGATAGAATGGGAATTAAAAAATGTTTAGATAGATAGATATGAATAAAAGACATATTTTACAAAGATAGATAGATAGATAGATAGATAGATAGGAAAAAAATGTTTAGATAGATAGATATGAATAAAAGACATTTAAAAAAGATAGATAGATAGATAGATAGATAGATAGGAATTAAAAAATGTTTAGATAGATAGATATGAATAAAAAACATACTTACAAAGATAGATAGATAGATAGATAGATAGATAGGAATTAAAAAATGTTTAGATAGATAGATATGAATAAAAAGATATACTTACAAAGATAGATAGATAGATAGATAGATAGATAGATGAGATTAAATTAAAAATGTTTAGATAGATAGATATGAATAAAAGACATAGATACAAAGATAGATAGATAGATAGATAGATATGAATAAAAAAATGTTTAGATAGATAGATATGAATAAAAGACATACTTACAAAATAGATAGATAGATAGATAGATAGATGAAGGAATTAAAAATGTTTAGATAGATAGATATGAATAAAAGACATACTTACAAAGATAGATAGATAGATAGATAGATAGATAGGAATTAAAAATGTTTAGATAGATAGATATGAATAAAAAGACATACTTACAAAGATAGATAGATAGATAGATAGATAGATAGGAATTAAAAAATGTTTAGATAGATAGATATGAATAAAAAGACATACTTACAAAGATAGATAGATAGATAGATAGATAGATAGATAGATAGAAATTAAAAAATGTTTAGATAGATAGATATGAATAAAAAGACATACTTACAAAGATAGATAGATAGATAGATAGATAGGAATTAAAAAATGTTTAGATAGATAGATATGAATAAAAAACATACTTAAAAAAGATAGATAGATAGATAGATAGATAGATATAAAAATGTTTAGATAGATAGATATGAATAAAGATATACTTACAAAGATAGATAGATAGATAAATAGATAGAAAAATGTTTAGATAGATAGATATGAAAAAAAAATAGATTAAAAAAAGTTTAGATAGATAGATATGTTTAAAAGATAGATAGATAAAATAAAAGATAGATAGATAGATAGATAGATAAAGATGAAAATAGATAGATATGAATAAAAAAGATAGAAAGATAGATAGATAGATAGATAGATAGATAGGAATAAAAAAATGTTTAGATAGATAGATATGAATAAAAAGACATACTAAAAAAGATAGAAGATAGATAGATAGATAGATAGGAATTAAAAATGTTTAGATAGATAGATATGAATAAAAGACATAGCTACAAAGATAGATAGATAGATAGATATGAAAAGAATTAAAAATGTTTAGATAGATAGATATGAATAAAAGATGATTACAAAGATAGATAGATAGATATGATAGATAGAAAGATAGAATTAAAAAATGTTTAGATAGATAGATATGAAAAGAAAGAAATACTTACAAAGATAAAAAGAGATAGATAGATAGATAGATAAAATTGTTTAGATAGATAGATATGAATAAAAAAGATAGCTTTACAAAGATAGATAAATAGATAGAATAGATAGAAGATAGATAGATAGGAAAAAAATGTTTAGATAGATAGATATGAATAAAAGACATACTTACAAAGATAGATAGATAGATAGATAGATAGATTTAAAAAATGTTTAGATAGATAGATATGAATAAAAGACATAAAATAGGATACAAAGAAAGATAGATAGATAGATAGATAGAAGAGAATTAAAAAATGTTTAGATAGATAGATGAATAAAAGACATGCTTACAAAGATAGATAGCTAAACTGATATGAAAAAATGTTTAGAAATAGATATGAATAAAAAGATAGATAGATAGATAGATAGATAGATAGATAGGAATTAAAAAATAGATAGATAGATAGATAAAAAGACTACTTAAAAAGATAGATAGATAGATAAATAGATAAAATAAATGAAAAAATAGATAGATAGATAGATTGATAGATAGATAGATATGAATAAAAGATGTTTAGATAGATAGATAGACTGATATAAAAAAATGTTTAGATAGATAGATATGAATAAAAGACATACTTAGAAAGATAGAGATAGATAGATAGATGGGAATAAAAAATGTTTAGATAGATAGATATGAATAAAAGAAATACTTAAAATAGATAGATAGATAGATAGATAGATAGATAAAATGTTTAGATAGATAGATATGAATAAAGATAGCTTATAGAAAGATATAGATAGATAGATAGATAGAAAATTAAAAAAGGTTTAGATAGATAGATAGATAAAAAAGATACTTACAAAGATAGATAGATAGATAGATAGATAGATAGAAATTAAAAAATGTTTAGATAGATAGATATGAATAAAAAGACATACTTACAAAGATAAATAGATAGATAGATAGATAGATAGATAGGAATTAAAAAAAATGTTTAGATAGATAGATATGAATAAAAGACATACTTACAAAGATAGATAGATAGATAGATAGGAATAAAAGATAGATAGATAGATATGAATAAAAGACATAGATAGAAAGATAGATAGATAGATAGATAGATAGAATAAAGATAGCTTAAATAGTTTATAGATAGATAGATATGAAAAAGACTAAAATAGGTAGAAAATAGATAGATAGATAATTAAAGATAGATAGATAGATAGATAGATATAAAATAAAGATAAAAAGATGAGATAGATAGATAGATAAGATGATATGAAAATGTTTAAGATAGATATGAATAAAAAGAGATAGATAGATAGATAGATAGATAGATAGATAGATATGAATAAAATGTTTAGATAGATAGATAAATGAAAAAAACTAAAATACTTATGAAAAGATAGATAGATAGATAGATAGATAGATAGATAGATATGAATAAAAAATGTTTAGATAGATAGATATGAATAAAAAGACATATTAAAAAGATAGATAGATAGATAGATAGATAGATAGATATGAATAAAAATGTTTAGATAGATAGATATGAATAAAAGATATGAAAAAAGATAAATAGATAGAAAAGAGAGAAAGATAGATAGATAAAAATGTTTAGATAGATAGATATGAATAAAAAAGATACTTTCAAAGATAGATAAACTGATAGATAGATAGATACTAAAATAGGTATTAAAAAAGATAGATAGATAGATAGATTGATAAAAAGATAGATATGAATAAAAGATAGCTGAGATAGATAGATAGATAAATGATAGAAAATACTAAAAAATGTTTAGATAGATAGATATGAATAAAAAGACATAGATAAAAGATAGATAGATAGATAGATAGATAGAACTGATATGAAAATTAAAATATGTTTAGATAGATAGATAGATGAATAAAAAATTGATATTTACAAAGATAGATAGATGAAGAAAGATAGCTGGGAATTAAAAATGAAAAGATAGATAGAATAGAATGAAAAAGAGATAGATAGAAAGATAGATAGATAGATAGATAGATAGAATAAAGAGGAATTAAAAATGTTTAGATAGATAGATATGAAAAAACTAAAATAGGTATGAAAGAGAGATAGATAGATAGATAGATAGATAGATAGATAGATATGAATAAAATAGCTTAGATAGATAGATAAACTGAATAAAAATACTAAAATAGATATGAAAAAGATAGATAGATGAAGATAGATAGATAGATAGAATAAAAAATGTTTAGATAGATAATATGAATAAAAGACATACTTCAAAGATAGATAGATGATAGAAAATAGGATAGAAAATATGTAAAAAATAGATAGATAGAATAAAATAAGATTGATAGAAAGATAGATAGAGATAGAAGAAAGATAGGAATTAAAAAATGTTTAAGATGAGATGAAAATAATAAAAATAGGTATGAAAAAGATAGATAGATAGATAGATAGATAGATAGATAGATATGAATAAAAATGTTTAGATAGCTAGATAAAATGAATGAAAAATACTAAAATAGATATGAAAGATAGATAGATAGATAGATGATAGATAGATAGATATGAAT